ATAGACAAGAGGCACTCATCATCACCATTATTTTCATCATCTATCTCTTTTATAGTGTTCAAAATGTTTAAAAGTAATTAACTCTCTTATTCATTGGGATTGAATATAATGTTCATTCACTCCTTGTGATTTTTGTTATCCAGTATACTTATTTTCCATTATTTTGTGTTCTATTTTTGTTTTTAATTGCATAATTATTGATTACTTATTTCATGGTATCTAATTATTGAAAAAGTAATTTAGAATCTTGATTAGGATAAAATAACTAATAAATTTTTCCTTTAAACATAGAGTTTTATTAATAGGTCAATTTAAACATTTGACCTTAATACACTTTTGATAAAAATATTTAAGGAATTAGATGTTTTATTATAGTAAGGTTTAGATTTGTCTATAACGAATTAGGACTTGTTAGCTTTTGGTATAAATGGTAGTGATACATGAGATCCAGCTCCAATGAAATCTCTATTACATATTTAATTTCATAAATTTGATTGCTTTCTAGAATTTAGAATTATTTTATTAAAAACCAATATTTTTCAATATTTCAAAATTCTTAACCTGAATAAATAAATAATCATAGTTATTTTGAACAAACACAAGTCTATTGAAAAAATAATATTTGGACATTCTATTTTATTACATGTACGATTTGATACACTTATCAATATCATAACATATCTAAAGATTGTTGAACAATTAACTTATTTAATTAATTAACCAAGTCAATTTATACAAATTAAATCACAATATCCTTTAATATAATTCATATTTAGTTAGTAAATCAATATTCAATTCGTTTTTAGTTTAAATTATAGTTTTAGAAATGCAAAATGATATAAAAAAACTTAGAGAGAAAAAAAAAACAAATTCAAAATAGAAAACGATGGGTACAAAACTCAACTTGTTTGTTAGTTGATCTTTATTCCAGGAATTGATCCTCAAATAATTAGTTCACCATTATTCAAAAGTAGAAATCATAGCAGAAGAAAAGTAAAAAGAACATGAAAAGACAAAAATGAAAATAAAGAGGAAAGGGAGAAAAAGAGAAAAACTAAAACACATAAATTTGGTAAATGATTTCTTATGCCTTATTTTTGGGCATAATTAAGAATTAGGAATTACATATGGCCAAAACAATGAGGAAATTTAGATGAACTAAAAATTCAAAATTAAAATAAATATGTATAATGAATATAGTTTATTACTAATGGATAAAAATGTCTCAAAAACTAAAAGTAAAGCATATGAAAAATGAAATAACTGTATAATAAAGTTATAAATGTTATATATATATATATATATATATATATATATATATATATATATATATATATACCCACACATATATATTATACAATATATTAAGTAGTTATGATCTGATATAAAAGTATAACAATATAAAAAATAAGTTAATATAATTTAATTATTTTGAGTGATGTGTAAGAAGAAAAAATAATGAAAAATATTAAATAGGTAGTTTAGTATAGAACTATCATTTGATTTTATTTTTTTTACAAATTATAGGCCTCAAACGCTAAACATAATTGATTGTACTTGTTACTTGTTCATAATTTTAAAATGGAAAGAACAAGTTGATTGATCTTCTCACTCAAACTAGTACTTTAATTCATTTTTTTAATATTAATTAATAACTTGCGCTCATTATAAGAAACGATAAAATATAACATTTATAGTAATTTTAAAAAAAAATAACATTATAAATATAAACTTAAAAATATATTTATCTTGAAAGCCGGGATAGGATTAGCATTCCATGAAATCTACTCTCGGTATAGTATTAGAAATTAAAAAATTAATTAAAAGTGCATTACGGAGTAAAAACGGAAAGAGAGTGTACTATATCGTACAAAGATAATTTGCGGGTCACAATTCTGTGGCCCATCTTTCACATGGACTGCTTCAACATTGCTCCAAATTAGATCATTCTCAACATTTTCTTTTCTCTGTTGATAGAGTGAATTTGGTTTCACAAATAACCATATTTTTTATTTTTTTAAATTTTACTGGTAGATTTAAAAGAAATGAGTTACATTTCCCATCATGATTATAAATTATAATTCACTTTGGACAAAATAATTAAGTTTTTGTGGTTTCTTAAGCCAGATCATGACACAAATAATCATAAAGCAAATGAACGAATAATATTAATGTCACCGATTGGAACATTTACACTTACCAATAGCATAAGTATAGTTACTAATGATGATGTTTTATAAATAGATACATCATTAAATCGTAGAAGGTGTTAATTTAGGGTAATATACTTTCCTATATTTAATATATTAATTTGCGACAAACTATTCTCTCAAGGAATTATTAAGAATATGAAATCAGAAGAAATAAAGCTATGAAAAAATTAAAATCAGTACAAGTAACTATATTATACCTCTTTTGTGTTTATTAACAATATTATATGACCCATACATTTCTAATTGTAGTTTGATATTGAATTGTTATTCAAGTAAAATATATTCTTGACTGAATTAAAAAACTTGAAAAAAAAACCATGATTAATCTTTCTCTAGCAGGCATTCGGTGAGTACTTGAGGTGATTTTTATGGCTATGATTGAAATTAAAAGGAGAACATGCATGTGCTACACTTAATATAGTGTTACGAAATTGAGGAACACGAAAGAGAATAGTGATCAATGGTACAGAATTACATGGCCCATCTTTCACATGGACCCTATTCAAGAGCCTTTTACTTGGATCAATCTAAATACATTTTCTGATTATTGCTTTGTGGGCTACCATCTTTCTTTCAGCTCAAACTTATAGCACCGCCCTTATTCACCTCCACACCTTCATGCTCTTTCTTCTTCGATTTCTTTTTTCTTGCATGTGTGAATTGTAATTTCTGGATGCTGCTAAATCAAAGTTTTGAATAATATAAATTGAATGATTTTAATTTCTACTTATACAAAAATCATAGTTAGTATACTTTTTAAAATAATTACTATAAAAGTCAGCAAAATTATCATACATAAGGAATGACAATTTTATTCACGGGTAAAATCCGAGACGGGTAGTAACTATCTGTGGATATTTACTACCCGCGGGTAACGGGTATTTTAATACCCGCTTCTAAACGAGTCGGGTACAGGTAGTATACTATCCGCAACCCGCGAAAAATTAAAAAAAATATTATATATTTTTTAATTAAATTAATTAAAAATAAAATAAAATTATATTTTATTAGGTTAAATTTAATTAAAATTAAATTTTAATTTATATTATATTATATTATATATTTTTTTTCTAATTTTATTTAAATTTTATTTTAAATATGTATTAAATATTTCTTTTTTATTTTTTGTGGGTATCCATGGGTATCTGTGGGTTTTAAAATACCCGAGAGTATTTTTTAAACGAATACCAGACGGAAAACGAATAAGGTATCGGATACAATTTTATCCAACGGATCGAGTTACGGATGGTTACTACCCGTACCCGACCCGACCCGTTCCCATCTATACATAACCCATGCTTATTTGGAAAAATCATGATTGAGTAATATTAAATTGAATTTTGTTCGCAGACTATGTGATACTAGTAGAAGTTGAAAATATTTACTACACCATATATTAAGTTAACATACGATTTTTACAAAATGTAATCCAAACACGCCCACCACACGCTTCACAAAATATATAGCAGCCACAAATGCAGTGTTTCTCTTTCGATTTGGACGCAATAAAATCTCAAAAAGACAAAACGTGCAATGCATTTTAAATATTTGCCGCAACACATCGAACTTAGGTCCATGTCCTAACTAACACAGTAGTGGTGGACGAGATAATTTAAGCCAATTCAATAATAAATAATAATAATAATATTTTCATTCTAAAATTATACCCCTTCTTCCGTTCTTTTAAATGTTGGACTTTTAGAAAATTTTCACTACTTTTTAATTTTTTCTCATTTAACAATTATATCTTTATGTTTCTTTTAATTTTTAAATAATTTAATTTGTTCTTACAAAATCATAGAAAACAGATAAAAAAAATGGGAAGGAGTACTGTTTAAGTATCCAATGCTATATATGTAGGAAAGCACATTTTAGTGCCCACAAAAAATCGTGGCCATTGTTTATGATCCTCGAATACTTTGCTGTTGACCTTTTTCTTTAATAAGCAAGATTTGAGTCTCCTTCTTGACTTCTACTTTCTATTGTACCATTCTTGAAAGATTTTTCTAAACGATGCATCATTCAAAACTCTGACAACACGCAGGGTGTTGTGATTTTTCCCTTTGGTTTTCTGGTTTTGTATACGAAGGAATAGGGGAGTTGTTATTTGACCTTTTACTTTTGGGTGGTATTCCAAGAAGAAAATCTAGAATACTTTGATCTCACTCCTAGGTCGCCCAAATTCTATAACTCTTTCTGTAAATTTGGTAATGGTCGATTCCTTTCTTTCCACCATACCTAATCTCGTAGCTGGATTGTATTCAATGGATTTAGAAGAAATTCAGATGGTTTTGCACAACTTTGAATGTAAACATTTCTTTTCATCGTCATAATAACATTGAGCACTATTAATTCCGTGCTTCTTCCAATTGCTCCAAGAGCTGTCTTCACGCTGCCACGATACGCTGTGAAGGCCCAGGTTCTCCCCTTACCTTTTCATTTCACACTAAATTTAAACCAACCAAGTCAAAGGAAACCAATTTTTTTTTTAAAAAAACATTGGCCATTCACATCAAAATTGTCAAAGTGTTAAAAGCCAAAATTAAATTGAAGAAATTGGGGGTGTTTGACGCAGACCACACCGACCCAAAAGTTTTAAACTTCATTTACCCCATATTCTCTTTGACAACATGCAATCATGCCTTCAATAATCATGTCAACGCTTTTACAACCACGGGTTTGCGCCTCTCCCCCATTCATAACATCACCCTCCTAAAAGTTAAAACTTTAAACCCCTCATGAGATCGAATTCCCCAAATAGAAGGAAATAAAGAGGCTAAACACAAATAACAGTAACCGAGTAATTTACTATAAAATCAGCCTCTGTACAACGCGCCACAACCGGCGCCAGTTAAAACTCTTCCATCAAATCACTTCACAAATCACAAATGTACGTATATCCTACCCAATTTACAAAAATTAAATCAACCAATTCAGTATAATCAAAATCGAGATTGCGATCAACAATCTTCCAATTCCTATGCCAATTTCACCTAACACTACTCCAACCATCTGATTCCGACCAATTCGCTGGCCGATCAACGGTTGATATCTGACGGAGCCGGTCCTCCGGCGAGCAGAAACCTTCCGAACGGGACTCGTCAAAATTCCATGGCGATTGAGATTCCGGCGAGCTGGGAAGTGAAGAAGTCGTACTAGAAACCCAGTCGGGGAAATCGAAGTGACTTCTGGGCGATTCGTGAACGCGCTTAAATGAAACAGTGCCATCAGAAACAAAAGGGTGTTTCAAAAGCATCTCCGCACTCCACCTCTTTCTAGGATCCTTAACAAAACACTTCCCGATAAAATCCTTCCCTTCTATCGACAAATTCTCAGGTATCTCGGGAGTCTCTTCTCCCACCCCAATTCGAAGCATCAACGACCACATACTCGACCCCTTCTCCACCTTCCACGCCGGTTTCCCGGTAACCATCTCCACAACTGCGCACCCCAGAGCCCATATATCTGCGGGCGACTCACACTCACCATCGATCACTTGCTCCGGCGACATAAACAGCGGAGTCCCCCTGCATTCACTCTTCCTCTGTTTTATCTCCCCTGCCTCTTTCGCCAGACCGAAATCTGCAATCTTGATTTCCCCGTCGTCGAGTACGAGGATGTTTTGAAGCTTTATGTCGCAGTGGACAAACCCATTTTGATGTATGTGATTCAAACCTTCCACGATGGACCTCGTATAACGCCGAACCTGAGGCTCGGGAATCCGGCCTCCGCAATTGTTTACCTCGTCTGCGAGACTCCCGGCGGTGGCATATTCGAGGAACAAATTGTAGTACTCAACACCATTCTCGAAACTGTAGTCATCTCCGAAGCAGCGAATGATTCTCGGACAAGAACCTAGGTGATCGAGCACGTGTTTCTCGTTCTTGAGCCAACAAGAGGTGAGTGTCTGGGAGGACTTGACGGCTGTTAAAGACGGAAACCGAGAGGGATTGGTAGTCGGAATGACTAAACTAACGGTGGCGAAGCCTCCTCTACCGACGGCGTCTCCACGAACCCAATCCATGTGTTGCAAGTAATATGTGAGGTGACTGTGTAGGTGGTTTTGCTTTGTGGGAAAGAAAGAAAGAAAAGAGAGGTGAAGTAATGGGAATAGGAATAAGAAAGAAGTGCGAAGTGTTGGTTGGAAAGAATGAGCAAGGCTCTGTTTTATATATATGGTGAAATACGGTTGATATTGAATGACCTAAGGGTTAAGGCGTCTGGCGAAATAAAGATATTTAAGAGAAAAAAAGTGAGAAGCAAAATACTAAATATGCGTAGATGATTGAAGCACGTGATAGGCGAGGATATTTTCAGGCCAAAGAGTGTTTTCCAAAATTGGGTGAACTAGCTCACCACACTTCTCAACGTGTTGATGAGATGAACGTTTCCCAAAGATTTTATGACAGATATCACGCTGCTGCGAAAGTGACTTCCAAAAATACGTCCCCCTAAATTCTACTAATAATATTATCATTATTGTTTTCTACACTAATTTTTTTATTTATCAGAGTATGGTACGTGTGATTTTAGTAACTATGTCCTTTTACGCATCTTCTGCAGTCATATCAGAGTATCTAAGTGTATAGATAGTTTTTTTGTCCTAGTCATGCTTTTACACGCATTAGCTCCTAAATTATAGTTATTATATCTGCAGTGTGTTTTGCATTGATCAGATGTTTATTTTAGGAAGAAATTAATGGCCACGATCTTCAAAATATTCACTGCTTCCTACTCTCAAATTGTCGTCACTCAGTCTTATCCTTTCTATTACAAATTGCTAGGTAGTTCTTGCTCAAACTTAACAAATTCCTATCTCTATTTAAATATTCCTACCATTTGTTGGAATATTCTTCATCCAAGCTTTTTCGTCTCTCTTTTTAAAATAGGAAATTATGGACACTGAACATGTGACAATGATTTTCATATAAAGTAATATTTTCATGTGAGAAGTAAATTATGTTTTTATATATGAGTAAATTATATATTGTTTGTTGAAGTTTGAAAAATTATGGAGATTTATGTGCGAATATTACGCAACTTAACTATTGTTTTAAGATAAACGTGTGTAATTTTATTTGTGTGCGGATTCCCGCACATTATACAATAGATATATTTCATTTTAAAAATCTTAAATTAAATAAATATATTTCATTTGTTAAAAGATATTTTATTTCTGAGTAATTTTTTCATTTATCACGCTTCAGGATTTTTTTTTTCCAATTTATATATTATGCAATTCGAGATTCAATATATAAATATATGGTATAAAAACAATGTGATTGTTCTGCTGTAAATGACGGAAATTAATAGGACAGGAACGAAGATTTGATTTGTGCAACTGCATGACAGGAAACTTTTTACTGCTGCAACTGAGTCAGTATAATTGTTTGATAATCTATAAAACATAATGTATCCCTATTTGAAATCAAATCAGAGCCAAATCAACGAGACTATATGATAACTCGTGTTCAGATTAAATCAATCTAAAATAGACTGCTCAATTGGGAGAGATGATAAAAATGTGCTGTAATCAGTGATACAACACGTTTCGGATCTTATTAAAAGGTTCATGTTTGGCGTTCAAAAATAAAATATAGAGCCTGGATTTGTGCAATTACCAGCCGACACTCTAAAGATACATCTATATATTTGCCGCGCTGGAAGTTATTCGTTCAGACGTGTATTCAAGAATTAAGGAAATTAAAACACTAAAGTTACACGTGGTCATGAAGATTGGATTTTTCACTCTAAATCAATATTTTATTTTTAATTTTTAGTTAGTGTGTAATTAATTACCAAATAAAATTATCTCCTAAAGATATATATGTGTAATGTATGTGAGTTTGTTTTAAAAAGTATAAGTTTTTATATTTATTTTTTTCAAATAAAATATGAAAGTGGCAACCTAGTTCATTCTCACGAAAATCAAGATTCAATGTTTTTTAGTTAACCTAGGTCTAATAGAGTTTTATTAACTAACACTACTTTCATTTTCTTCAATTACGAAAAATGTCTAATTCCTTTATAATCAGGTTAAATCAAGTCGTGAAATTGTATAAACATCTTTAAATACATGAAAAATAAATCAGTATAAGTTTTATACTAATAAATTTCTTTACGCATACAAATTATATTGATATTTACTGAACCATTTAAATTGTAATAAAAAGTTAATTTGAATTATTAAGGTCAGTTAAACAAAATAAATTGAATTAAAAAATGAAGTTACCAAACCATGATAGATGAATCATATTTATTTGAGATGATTGAATCAGTAGTTATAAGAGCAGAACGTGAAAGGAGGAGAAAAATAATGTTGAAATTGATTGAAAAAAAAAGGGAAGTTAGCATGAAAGCAGCGTAATATAGTTGTGGTACCTATAATAATAGCCTACGTGGTTGGCCTTATTGTCAATTTTTGAAAAAAGGGAAGCTAAGATGACATGGAAGCGTGTTTGGTGTGAAACCAATGGCGAGGTTTGACTGGAAGTGAATGCCTTCCGTTTGCCGCATGGGTTTTTAGTGGTACCCTAATAAATAACCAATACTACATACAAATACTATTACTTGCAAAATAATCAAATCTCAAAACCACACCGACAACTTCCGCTAAACATTTTGAGGAATTTCATGTACTGAACAAACCAAAGTAACCAAACTATCAAAGTCTAACAGGGTAAGGAATCCCCAGCAACCAACTAAATGATTAAGTAATGTATCCTTTCTCTTTATTACTTCTCCTAAACTTATTCAATGCACCTGTTCAATCAACCATTTCAAATGCGACAAAACCTTCAAATAATTTCCGAAATTGAAAGCTTGAAATAAATTTTTTTATCATAAAAGTATAATTTAACATTCTACATACTTTAGTAAAATTTAGAGACAGAAGTTTGGGGGAGCTATGACCCTTTTGATCCCTTTAAAAATCTGTGTCCAAGATTGTTATGTTTGACCTTAGTTGTTTATGGTTTTTTTTATAATTGTTGGGTTCATGCTAAGGGAAAATTGGAGAAGTACCACCTTCATCCAAAATAAAAATTAAGATAATAAAATTGTAGATTTTTTTCATATATATTGTTTATTTTATTTGTTTTTATTTAATGTAAAACTTAAAGTCATATTTGAAATTTTAAAAATTATTCTTTTAAGTACAAATTTCTTTAATATAAATACTTTTTTTTTCAGCAACCGTAAGATCTACTTGTATAGTCATTTTTATAACGAAATGACATACATTTACTTGTTGTAGAAAAGCTATTTTTATAACACCCGAAACTTTTATTAGAAAGATTTTGAATACAAGAAATCTTCAAATATAAGACTCTTCGCCCACTTATGTGTTCGATCAACGTTCACCACAATATTTTGTTAGATTATTGCGAGAAAAAACATTGGGAAAATTAACTCACACTTAATATTCTTACAATAACTAAATAAAATATTAAATTAGAAGAAAAAAGTATTAGACAAGTAATGTAATACAACAAATAAATTATGAAAAAGCAAATGTTTCTTATATAGCTCACAAAAGCATCTTATTTGCATTTTGTTTCAGAAAACGTTAATAAGAAAATCATATAAAATAAAAGAAATACAATCTCAAATTTACTTTTAAATTTAAGGTTTTAAGACTCACGCAATAAGAATGTAGTTTCACATCAAGACCTACATCTACAAATTTTCAATAAACGTATTATTATTCAACGTGCAACCTTTCTAGAAAAAAAGTATAAACTTTTATAAAAATTTTCTATCAAAAACTACAAACCTTTTCATATAATTTGTTTTTCGAAAAAACGGCAACTTGTGTAATTTTTCTAGCAAAATATTTGTAAACCTTCTCATATTATTTTTCTAAACAAAATTGCAAATCCTCTCACATAATTTTTCTAATCAAAATTACAAACCGACATACAAATACTTAAGTCCTTCATACACCCAAGAGACTTATTGAGTTATGGTGATCAATCTCAAATAAATCTTTCATTTTTATAATATTTTTTTTCTATTCTCTTCTTCATTTTACTGGATGTGGAACATTGTTGAATACACACATGAGAACCAACATATTCTTTATTCACCAACAGTCTCACATATAAATAAGAAATCTCATTGTCGATTCTCACCCTTTGGCACCGTAAGAAAATGCACATTAAACAAATTTTATCGATGGAAAAAATTTCGTTGGTAAAAAAAGATTACTATCGAATTTTTATTTTTAATTATCCACATGTTTTTTTTTGTCAATAATCGACCTATCATTTAAATTCATCGACAATTAAAATTATTATTACTGACAAAAATATTTGTCGATTATTAATCTGTGGATGAAACTCATCGGTAAAATCCACCTATAATTTATAATGTTTATTATTGAGAAATATTTTTGTTAGTAAATTGAGTCAAAGTTCCCACTATGAGCTTTGGTAATGTCGTGGTAAAATATATTTGTAAATATGTCGTAATGTCGTCAAAAATGAATTTTCTTCAAATTCGTTAATAAATTTATCATAATGAATTTCTATAAAACCTATCGGTAAATTAATTTTTCGAAAAATCTTTATTTAATCTATCAATAATTGGATTTTTTTTATAAAAATCATCGATGATTCAATTTTTTAAAAATTCGTTGTAATTTCTTAGTAAATTTGTCATTAAATAGGTGTCAATTTTCTGCCAAATTTGATGAAATACTTGTCATAAGTTAATTGGAGATAGGTGAGAAGAAAGGAAGGAGGAGGAAGAAGAAGAGAAGAAGAAGAAAGAAAAGAAGAAGAAAGAGAATGAAGAAGAAGGAAAACGAGGAGGAGAGGGAACATAGATGGTGGATGTGATGACAAAGGCAACACTAATGACATTAAATAAGGAAGATGATAAGAAAAAAAAAAGAATAAAAGAGGAATAAGGGAGATAAGAGGAGAAATAAGATTAAATCAATTATTTTTCAAATGATTTTTACTAACGATCAAAATCCATTGATAATTACTAATGAATATTTATTGTACAAATTTTTCTATTCGTCGGTAAAATTTTCCATAAGTATTTTACTGATGAATTTTTTTATTGCTAATAAATTATTTGTAATTTTGATTTTTGATGAATTTGAATAATGATCGTTAAATTTTAATTGTGGATAAATCCATCTTTGTTGCTAGTGTATACATCAAACTTGTTATCAACAACTTTCACATTACAACTCATCAATACTCAAGG